AGTGAGGCCGTTCGATTCCGTCAGCCTTTGGACTGTTCTAGGTTTATGACAGTCTGTCAAGGATTATCAACATAACGGTCGCTGTATACTTTAAACTTGCCAGGCCCCGTAAGCTTTACTTGCCGTTTCCTGAAGATACTTTTGTAGATTCAGAATAATTTTCGTTGCCAATCAACTTGAGCGTCCAAACGTTCCTTCGAAGTGAAAGCCACTTTTTCACTCCCACGGGCAGCCTCTCTTAGAAGGGCCACCTTACACTTACCAGGGTGTTGATCAGTTACTGTCGTTTTTGGTGGGGTAAAGGTTACAGCTTTCGAGAAATACACTCATTTGCAAATCAATTTGGTTTTCACGACAGACTCAACTGAATCACTCGTTTATGATATTCTACAGCTGGATGTACTGCACACAGGCCGCCTCATGATTCAGTTGGCACGATATTCAAGATATCGCAGTATATGTTCATAAAGGAAACTACTCATAAGGTTACTGAAGGGCTGTCGAAGAGGTTTCAGCAACCGTGTGAGTAGTTTCTTTTATGCAAAGGTTACAGCTGTTTTCAAACAAAATTGTAAAACTGACTTCCCTAACTGTCTTTTGATTGCGATTCTGATCAATCTAAATGATTATTTGGTCAAATGATGCTAATCTGTAAATTCGGAACAACAGAATAAGGAACCGTAGGGCAACAAACTTACTACTTTAGTGGGCTTACAGTTTGTGAGCATGCTTGAAATACTATCATTGAAAGGAAGAAGGCCTTTGTTGCGTTAGCTATTAGTAAATGCCAACTGAACCTTTACAGACTATTGGACAGGGAAGCAAAACTCATAAGCATCTTGTTCACAAAATTGAATATCCATCTTCTCCTTGAACGCGTCTCCCTGAACTTTCCTGGATATTCATTAACTATTGCTCAAATTCAAGCAAATGCCACCAAGTGACTCCATAAATTATGCAACAGATCGCCATTTTCAAGAGACGCAAAATGTATTTACTTGAAGAAAACATACTACTCGTATGCCTCTCTCACCAGTAGTATCGCCGTTATATCATGACAAATATCGCAAATGAAAATGAGAGGAAAACCCTTGGTTTTCTTATCTTGAGATATTTATAAAAAACTGTTGTTAAGAAAACGTTTATATTACACCGAAGGAGTCGATAGCTCGCACCAGGTAGTGATTCTAAAGGATCAATACAATTTAAGGTGAATTTGTCAGTAGGTTGGAGAACGATGGCATGAAGCAACTTTGCCAACTGCCGATAAGAAGCTACTCTTGATATTACGACGATGACCAACTGGCAGATATTCTAGCCAAAAGATTGTCCCGCTTTATTCTGTAAACCTGTGGTGCAGCTAGTTTCAGAGCAGTACTCACCAACTGACCAGTTCGTTCTGAAAACTTCAAGGTTGAAGAGACCGCACCGACAAATCCTGCCGTTATTTATTTATTTTCCTATTTCGGCTGACTAAATTAGGTGAGTCGGATACAAACACAGTTATTCAAACATTTCCAATGGCATCGTCCGGAAGCCTCAACTAAAAGATGCCGCGCGTACGAACCTAAGTTTACTAGGTGAACAATACTCATGAAGTTGATCTCAACTCAGATTCCAGAGTCATGTATCGGGTACCACCTTTCAAGTCCAAAAACAAAAGGCCACGGCTAACAACGACAGCCACGGGTTTACGGTTGTTTAGAAAATCACCATTCATAAGCAATGAATGCAAGATTTGTTTTCATGTTGATTCTTAATAGCTTCCACAGACAACGGTAATAACGCAAGCAGATATGACGTTGACAATTTAGCAACCGATATCTTTCTCTGATCCCTTGAAAACACCTCCAATATCTTCTCATTTTTCGAGTTCCTCAGAAAATTATTCTACAGTTTAGTTGCTTGCCTTTTTCTGGTTTCAAAATGCAAGAGCAAACTGACGGGTTTGTCGAAGAGCTCTCATTTGCTCACCTATACCAAATTCCCAAAAATGTCAGAACCCACAGTGCCATCTAGGTTAAATGAGGGTTCCCCCTTTGAACTTCCAGACACTTGCTGAGTCGGGGGAGGGCATGCGAGACATCCTTCCACCCTATTGAACAAGAGGGTCGTAGTATGACCTTCACTGAGATATTCGTTTGTAACCTAGAGGAGAGTTCGGCCACTGACTCTTCAAGAATTTACAGGGGATACTATGTTAGGAAATTATTTGAACGGGCAAGCCTTTCTGGTAAAATGATTGTGACGAGTTTTGGCGCACAAATTTTATCAGAGTTGTCGACTGAGCGTGGAGAAATCGTAGAAAACGCGGACTGGGCTGGCAAAAGGAAGTGCAGCATCGAGTACGAAGTTGTTCGTTGACCAACGCGAAATAAATGGTTACGACCCTCCTGTTGGACTCTCCTGGACGTTGTCTAAATACCAAAAAATGTTGAACAAGCTAAACAGAGTTCAGTAATTCCCAAATCAACCTTCCATGAAATTCATGGATCGAGCTACAAACGAGACGCTACTCACATGCTTTTTCAGTAGCATACACCGTCACACTAGTAGTAGAAACATTCGAGCTTACTCCTATCTCTTCAGTAATTTCGAATGTAAGGAGCTACAATAAAAGCGGTGATCAACTTTCCCCGTACGTGTTGCGTGGCTTCTACGTTGTTAGTAGTCAGACGCCACAGGGAATTTGACCCTGAAATGGTAGAAAGTTTCCTGACCCTCCTCTGGAGAAGCTGCCGGTGTAACGGTGATACTACTGATGGGGAGGCATGCTAGTAGTATGTTTTTTTATTGTGAATTCGCTTTGCGTCTCTTGAAAATGAAATCTGTTGCGGAATTTGTGGAGTCGCTTCGTAACATTTGCTTGGATCTGAGCGACAGTCAATGGATATCCAGGAAAATTCAGGAAGACGCGTTCAAAAGAAAATGGAGGTTCAGTTTTTGTAAATAAGATGCACATAAGAGTTTTGCTTCCCTGTCCAATAGGCTGTAACTGTTCAGTTAGCATTTTATAATAAATGACTGCACAGTGAAGGCTTCCTTCCTTTCACTAGTACAGACAAAGTGATGGTTCCCACTTAGGATGCCAGTCTTCAAGCTCGAACTTCACATTCATTTTTCGGAACGAACCTCTTTTCTAGAGTTACTATGATAGGCTTCTTTATGCTTTTCAGCAAGCATTTAGATCCTTGTCAGTATCTAACACAATCCCAAGTAATGCCTCTCCTCAGACTGACTATTTTTAGCTGTAAAGATCTTGAAACTTTGCAGCTTGTCTTAATTCTTGATTGTGTGTCATTCATTGTTGCTCAATCTTTGTTTCCTTGCCAGAGTCGGGCCAACGTCTCCTTGCGAATGAGTCTTAACAGTGAAATCAGTCCGCGATGCGATGAGACTGTATACAAGGTGATAGTGTGCGCTGGAGAATTCACCAATGAGTAAGCGGTTGAACGTTCTTGAAATACACGGTTTATGTATTGTGTGCATTCATACAGAATAGACATTTGGTTCTAAGATAGATGACATAACCCACTTACTGATGGACAACACTATCGTTTTCGTGGATGGATCGATATATTACCTCTATATGAGTCGATGAGCAGTTATGATAAGGAATGGTTATCCCAGGAGGGAACTTTTATTCTAGCAGCGTGCATTTAACGTCATTAATATAAAATAAATGAATAAATAAATAAATAAATAATATAACTACGCGTGGAATCCTTGGAAAAAGCTACCCTGTTTCTCGTGAATGCCTTTTTCTATTTCTGAAACTGTGCATATCCTTTCCGAATATTAAGTCCATGAGTATTGCGAGAACCGTATTTGCTGTTAAGCTGAAATGCTGGAGCATTTACGCGGGAGCACTTTGTTAATGCATGTGCAAGGGGAGGGGGGTGAAAAACCGCCATAAATTTACTTTTGGGAAGCATGGGGAACAGTGAACGTTGTTCAGAAAGAAAGTGGGCCTTTTAAAAACCGCAACACGGCATTTTACATGAAACTAGAAATCCTACCAACGTTATAAAGTCAACATCAGTCTTACTGCGTCTTACTTTAATCGCCTAAACTGATTCAATGGGACTCTCCTCTCAGCTGTGAAATTGCGTCACCAGAGGAGGTTGAGACTGGCAGCACTACAAACTCCCATACTTTGTTTCATGAATCAGCTGATTCTTTTTTATCAAGCTTGAGAATGGCGTTAGCTGCCTGACTGGTACATCCCATTCTGAGGTTCTTTAGGGTTGACAAACGCTGCTGTGGTAAATCACGTATATTTATTTCACTCTCGTAAAAGAGGTCTAGCAACTCCGACTGGCAAACACTGGTCCGATGAGCGTAGAGGTCTCATTTCTACCCTTTGTGAACCTCTTATTTTCTTTGACCACAATGATCGGTACACTTTTAAACAAACCTACGAATGAGCACCATTCACTCATCGTAGTTAATATTTAAACCAATGATTATCGACTTGGACAAAACCGTAGCGTGATACAAACTTCTCGGGTTGCTGGATCAACAAATGCTCTATGTTAGCGAAATACACTTATTTGCAAACAAATTTGGCTTTGCGAGGGACTCACCTGGAACCCAGCTCAATCTCTCGTTTGTGATGTTTCCGGGCAACTGAATGTTTTGCACCAGGCCGCCTCGTGTTTTAATCGCTACGATATTCGAGAAATCGCGATACATGTTTAGACGTAATGCACTACTCATAAGGTTGCTGAAAATTCGTCGACAGCACACGACCGGTTTTGCCCTCCCAATTCGGGCTCAGCAGGTAGACACAGTCCCCGAGTTTATGTCAACCTTATGTTGTATCTGAACTCGAATCTCACGAAACTGGCGAATATACACTCATTTGCAAACTAATTTGGTTTTTCGAGAGACTCACCTGGAACCCAGCTGAATCTCTCGGTTTTGATGTTTCCAGGCAACCGAATTTGCTGCACCAGGCCGCCTCATGTTTCAGTCATTACGATATTCGAGCATTACGTCTATAGATGCCACTGACTAAGTGTATGATAGGTAACCAAACAGATTTCATCTTTGTATTCCTGATGTGTTACAGATTGATGAAAGTTTTGGGGCAAACTTAGCAGAAATTTCCGCGTAAGGAACATTTTTGAACACAGTAGTTTGTTCTCGCGATAGTCCGTCACTGCCTACATTTTTAAGCTCCAATAGGGAGGTAATAAATTTATATTCTTATTAAAGTTTAATCACCTGCAGATCTCTGAGCAGTTACTAAAAAACAGGTACCTTTAGAGCCATCCCTACATCGGATTCTAACTCGGTTCTCCTTACCCAAAACTCTCTGGAGAGAAACTCTGAAAAGTCCAAGAGGAATTCTGATGTTCGTGTGGAACATGGGATACTTATGGGAAGGAACCAATTTTTTTTTCGGGAAAAAAATGAAAAAAGTGAGCATGACGTGTTGCTCAAAAAAGTGCCGGTTCCATTCGTGGTTGTCCTGTGTGGTCCTCTAATCTAGCCTAATAAGACAGCCCATTCAGAGAAACTATGGGAGCGCTGTTGACGAAATCCTTGACTTGGTTGGCTTTTTGACTCACACGGTAGACTGCCACTTGATCAACGTTTCCACCGAGCTGTCTGTCCCTTTGTTCATTTCTGCACAACATTTGCCATTTTTGGGCACATTGGTACATCACAGGACATGCTGCAACACATTGGAAGTTGCCTAATATTCTAAGGCCCTGTTTCATTAAACTAGATTTATAAACCCTCGTTCCTGTCTCTTCTGGCAGGGTTGCCCTGAGGCTAAGGGAACTCGCGATTTTTAAATCAAGTCCTACTTGATAATGGTTGGAAAGTATCACCTGGTGGGAATGAAACGTATGCGCAAATGATCACGTCCTGTCAAACAGATGAATATCAGTCATATGATGGTACTTTTCTACTGCGTGAGTACAATGCGCTGGTCGTTTTAATGTCAAAACTAGCCGTACTCTAAAATTCGTCCGCCTTGGAATTGTTTGTACTGACTGTTTGCTGTCAGGCGATAGTTGAGTAGAGGAAGACGTATGTATGAAAGATA